GACACACATTTTTACACATACCTACGCATACACTTTCATTCTTTCACCGACATATACACCTAAGCACAGATAAATGCCTTCTTTCCTACACTCTCATTCATTCTGAGTACCCATATTTTCTGTTGATGAGTTTGTACCAAGAACAAACATTTGTTCACAAAATGATCCAGAATTCTTTTGCACACAATGAACAAAGAAATAAAAACAAGTAATTCTAATGTGTCTTTAGCTATTCATTATCAAGTTGTTTTTGCTAAATTGAAGATAATATAAAAACTCCAGTGTTCTGTACATCCTTCATCAAGATCTAAATATTTTATTGAGAGAGTTTGGAAAATACACAAAGCAGAAATATTGGTATACTACATGGAATATGTGACTGATAAAATAGAAATTCTTAAGGCTATACAACATTATTTTGAGGTATCCTGCTCCATTAAGTCATGTTCAGTTGCTATCATTGTTTCTAATTTTCATTTTTGAAGTAAAAAAATCAACAACCAATTTGTAGATTCACAGAACTTAGATATTATAAGTATAGGCATTTTTTTACACCTAACATTGATGCAGTATTCTTTTGTTCGTCACTGGATTGATTTTCCTGCATTGAATTTGATCCAATGTCCATTTTGTTACTGAGATATTTGGTCATTATCTTTTCTTTTTTATCTCTCCAAACAGAAAATTGCACTTTTTGTATATTTAAAAATTTGGTGAAAAATCAAAGACTGAAGGGTTATTTTTTAATATATTGCCCTTATGAGTCTTAGAGTTGAATGCATATCCTCTGCCTGACTGTGCATAATTCAAAATTATCTTGGTAGTAATTATTTCCCAGGTCATTAATGGTAATTCATTTCAAATTCACATTCTTGATTTGTAGATAATCATCCCAGTGATATCCATGATACTTCCAAACAGTAATTATATGGCAGGTAAAACAGAGTCAAAATCCTTTTCGTTGTTTATTGAGATAAATGGACTACAAACGTGATATGATAGGCTGAACCTAACCAACAGAGTAAGGATGTGAACCAAGCCTTGGGAACCAGAACAATAACAGCAACTGCAGGTGTGTCTGGGCGTGTGGATGGGTTGCAGCCCGACCCTGGCCCGGGGCCACATACCTGCCACCTCCACCTCCTGCATCACAGCTGCAAATGGAACTGGCACTTGAGTGAGGCATCTTGTTGCAAAGTGGAGGATGCTGGCATAGGCGCATGGGTCTATGCCTGCTGTCTTTCACTTAGCAACAGGGGTAAGGTGAGGACTGCTCACTGCCAAAGGCAGCAGCGGGCTGGGGCAGGGGGTGGCAGGAGGTTAGTCGGGCCACCCAGCTACTGTACTGTGGAAGTCAACGGAAGCGGTATTGAACTGTATGGCCGAGGGGCCTGGATAGGGGATGCACAAAACTCTGTACAAGAAATGTGCTGTCTAGCCGGTACACTACAAATATAAAAGTGAAATAAAACAACTATGGGTAAACTGTTGCAAGCAGAGGCCTATAACATGTAACTGGCGGCATCCACCCCCAGGCCCGGTAATTCATGATTATGGTAAATCAAAAGTATTGTAGTCTAGTCGTAATTATTGCACTGATCTCGTACTAAAAATGAGAGACTGTTACAAGAGAGGAAATATTGAGTGACAGTGGTCTCGCCTGGGCCTGGCGCTTCACCTCCTCCAGCGGCCAAGTGAGGGGCACAGACGCACAGGGGGCACTGGACCAGAACAGAAATGCTCACCTCACATGGTGTCTAACTTCAATAAATTAATATTGTTTAATAAAACTTAAAAAAGGCCATTTTGTGACTAGCATCTGCACAGAGATCCAGCACCCCTTGCGCTACTGCCACCGTCATGGTGGTGGCTGCCCGTCCCCTCGCTCTGGCTGAGGGCATCACCACACCCCTCCCTCCTCCCCTGCCCGGGCTAGCCACCTTGAGAGCACATCCTTCAGTGGGGTAGTAGTTATTGCCAAAAGGACGGTTCTATTTCTCCATAGTTAAGTATACTTTGGGAGTGAGGGTAACGAGGTGCCCTCCGGCCGAGTGCATCACTGACAGCTATCGGCAGCTGTTGAGCCATGGGCCCCGGGTCTCTTTGGCACAAGATACAGTTAGGGCACGAGCGAGACCTTGTCAGGACGCACGAGGTTCTCATTCAGCAGGGCCATAAATCAGAAATGTTCTGTGGACATGACCCTCAGCTCTGATGATGGAACTTTATTTTTAAGAGTAAACGACTTATTCCATATCTAATTTTAAAATTTGGTAATATCACAAGAGTTCCATTGTTAAACATTTATCACAATATTTGTAAAGTAAATTAATCCCTAATCACATAGAATCACAAGCTCTAATATCATATGATTAATAATAATAACAGTAATATACATATCTGGAAAGGAAGACACCATCCAGTTGAGGGTCAGAATGTCCACAAATGCTGTTCAGACAACCTCGCACGGACAGCTAGTTGGCTGGGGTCAAATTACCACAGAATATGAGCCAGAGTCTCTGTACTTGTGTGAGTCCCTGGTAATGAAAGGTTATGAATAACAATTTGAAAAGATCTACTGTATACAATATGATATGTGCCTATGATTTCTGTATCGTGGTTACCATCATTGCTTGTCACAATGCAGCATCAACAGCCAATGTCTTACAGTCTGTAATCTTGTGAAGGGCACACCTCCCAACACTCTTAAATCATGCAGGTACCAAAGCCAGTCTAACTGGCCTCCAAACAGGTAACAAAAGGAACACACACGCACAATACTTGATACTTTCCAGGTACAAACACTGCAGGAATAATGAAGGGCCTTTGGTGAAAAAGGGACATTCAAAAGGTCCATATTTTTAATCAATCAACTGACTAAAACCTAGATCTTCGTTAAAACACATTACAAGAGAATAAACTTATTTCTCCACTTGCCTCTGGCTGTAACTCTAGTAGCCAGGTCATAAACACTCTCCTAGGACATCCCCGTGACCATGAAAGTTTTGATTTTGTCTGCAGCGGGTGGCCACCATAGGGTTGCGCATTTTAGAGACTGCCGTCGTGATACCCACAAGCAGCTCACCCTACCACAGAGGGGATGCCCTTCACCTTTAATATCCTATCACAGGCAGTTCAAGCACACTGGGGTCCCCTGCATTCTACCCTGTACAATATTGCCTCAGACATAAATCAGTAAGAAAATAGTTTCCCAACAACTCAAGTGTTTCAACAAAGCATCCAACTCTGAGCTGATATGCTTATCAAATCACAATTGAAGAGGCAACATCACAGCATAAAACAAAGAAATTTCTTGCACACTTTCATCACCACAGTGGTAGGAGACCACTCATGTCTTGCTTAGTGATATAATTGTAGCACAATTAATAGAAAAAATACTATGTGAAGACAAACAAGACATTAACTTCTAATATTTAGAAAAAATGAATCAAGATTGAGCTTGAAATTGATGGACTAAAAATAACAAAAAAAAAGAAAAAAAGAAAAAAGTAAATTTACTCTAGTATAAATATATATTATATTCAAATGTTGACGTCAACACTTAAGAAGTAAAAACAAAACAATACCAATTTCTAAACAATATTAACAAATCTCTGAAAAATTATATACACATTTTTACTACCATAATCCCATCTATCAACAACATATGTCCTTCAATGAGCCCTTGTTCGGGAATTAACTTAGGGCAGAAGTTCAAATTCACTATATTATTAATCCAATCACAGCACTCATCAAACCATGAACCATCAAAATATCACATGACCAGAAGTCTTTCACTACAGGTAACATAAAGGTAAGTGGCAATATTTCGCCCACTGATCAGAAGGAGTGTGGACAGCAGTGTTTGTTTACCAGGGGAGAATCACTCTAGAAGAAGCCAGTGCAACCAGGGGACCCCTTGCCACCAGTATATGTTCAAGAGGAAGATTTGTCAATTTACATGGTTACACCACATACAGTACAAAATATCCCCAATTACAAATTTCTCTTTTTGGAATGAAATCCATCATATAAATAGTAATCCAATTTGACAATGACTAGAACAAATACTAATAAGTGAATTGTTCAGTAATAATCACAGGCCAAATCCATCGCCTCCAGTTAGTCGCACTGATACAAACGGAGCTACCAGCGAATACAGCAGCAAAGAGCCGCCTTTCTGGCCCGGGCCGCAGTATACCACAGTCACATTACCAAACTTGGTATTCTAGCTGGCAACTTGGGATTTCTAAACTCTGATCAACAAAGAATGGCCCTAACTTTGGTTTTCTCTTTCAACAAGATGTCTTGGGACAAGATCCTGAGGCGATCTCTCACAAATCTTCAAATACAAAGAATCGTTACTGCACTATTTCCTTTATACTCACAGTGCTTGGCATAGTTCAACGAAAATTACAAGGTAAGGAATGCACTATGATCCTGATCTCCCAAACCACCAGCTTAGCCGAGCAACGTGGAGACAAGCGGCCCGCCCGTGTCCTACCTGTCTATCATCTACAAGGAAAACGGATCATAGAGTAACAACTACAAATGATGGCAGTTTAAAAGGAGGGATCATATCTGATATGTTGTGGAAACACTATTAAAATGAGCCCTGGCTGCCCACACATGACTGCTCTGGTAGGAATTTACCACATGGCTATAAAGCTTTTCAAATTACTTACTTATATTTATGATATCTACAGTTAGGTAAATAACCCCATACCATATTTAAATTGCTGATATTTTGTTAATGTATGAACTAATTCTGAGAATCAGTTGGCAATTTATATTTCTTCACCCTTTATCATTCTTCTAATGATAACTGATTTGGGAAAAAAACATAAAAACAGTCCTTTAGAAAAGTAACATGACTAAGGTTACCTTAACCTAAAAGGAAGCTCAGTGGTACAGAGAATGTGCTCGTGCATGAAAATCTACATATATAAAATATTCCTATTGGGAAAATCTGCTCTACTCCATATAAGGATGTAGTGTGTGGGTACTACATCAACCAGGGCAACGTCTTATGTGGGCAGCCGTGAAATAACCGGCAGTGCTGCCTGGTTAGGATACCAACTCTTTGAAAGCAGAACTGAACACATTGTAGCTGTCTCAGCGCCACAGCTAAGAGCACAGCTGCCAGCTACACGATAAGCTCATTCTTCGTTGTTCATTTCCATTACAAAAACTTATTCAGTCAGTTATTATGAGACATCATTGTGGAAGAATTTAAAGTTGTGAGCAGAGTTGGATTGGTAAAATCAGACACTGTCAAAGCAGTGCCAGAGAATGCTGACAAAGCACATGAAGAGATCATAGTAAGTATGAAACTTTTCATCTGCAGGTCACACATCTTGCTTTAAGCCAGAGATATGATTAGGATTATTTCCTAACCATTAATTTAGGTCTATGAAGTCTCATTTTTTCTGGACTAACTCTGACAGTTATAAGCCAGTAACAAGTAGTTAAAAGCTTTCTAAATGAAGGCATGCATGCCTTGCCTTTGGCTAACAAACTTCAATCTTAACACTGCTTTGTGCATTATCTAATCTTGCAGTCTAATTCATACTTATTGTGCAGCTGGAAGCTACAGTTGTGAGCAAAGTTTGCCCTTATGCCAATGGCATATCACATCTTAGTACAGCCACCTACTTGTCATAACAATCATTTACACAGATAATGGTACAAATAACATAGGTCTTACATCAAGGTCAACATTAACAGCATATAAGCTAACAATGTCTTGATATTTATACAGGTAAAACTACCCCTGACCCTGTAGCCAGAAGGCGGGCATTGAGACCCCCAGGGCAGAGTCAAACTGGCCGCTGCACCCACAACACAGGCGGCCCTCACACCTGCACAGGACATTATTCAACACAAACATGTGCTCACACTTTAAGCAATGCAAATATCAACATTATGTAAAAACCACAAATGTTAGAAAGGTGAAACTTTACATAGCTTGTGCCGTCAGCCTCAAGTATGCACAGGGCTTCCACTGAACTTGAATAATAATGACACTGATAAAGACCACCTGATTTTTATACTGTTAAAATGGATGTCTGAAGTTTAAGCTATTGATCTCTGTATTTGCTACGGTACTATATATCTTTAATATTTAAAACATTTTGTCAGTTATTGTACTTTCCTAAGGTAAACTGCAGAGTTGGAGTGTACTGAGCATACATAATATACCTGACGATAACACTGTCATTTTTACTGAAGCCCCGAGGAGGAAGCCCTGTGGTCCCTGCCATGGGGGTTCCAATCGTATACATGGTGAGTGAAGCAGTTCTGTCTCCTCTGAGCGTTCTGCCCACCAGACAATCTTTGTCGCATCATTTTACCTAGCTAACCGTCTCCTGCGCTTGCATACACTAAATCACAGCCCGGACCAATATCAACATTAACAAGAGTTTGCCTGCCAACGATGCCATGTTACCAGAGGCTACATTACCATATGGGTCTATGTCAATTTTATTTACGGTCAATCACTGTAAAGAGATTGGAAAGAGAGAGAAAGAGAAGTGAGGAATCACTACAGCAATACCATACATAAGATCCACAGCCATGGGAAGGAATGCGACCAATGGGTACGTAACGCGACTGTAGCCCTCTTGTTCATGGGGATGGTTGGCAGGCACAGCTCAAGGGGTGAGGCTCAATACATTCTGAATTCACTCACAGATTTATATAATGCCAATATATCACTACGCAACAGAAGACATTGAGCATTAAGTGTTGCTTCAGTAAGACTTGTCTCCATATTGTTGTGAAGAGGAAATGAAGCCTTATCAAACCAGTTCAAATGCTCACCATAGCAGATTTTGCCATCACATATAAAAATGAAAATAATAGAAAATACACATCACAATTTAAGGTACTCTCATGGGGCTTTCTCTAGATTAATTTATGTCAACATTAGCAGGTATGTCTTTATAATAAGTTTGGTGAACATGTCCTACTGTATACTGTATCACACTGATACAAACACAGGTTTGTGACAAAACATTTGAACTATCTCCCTATCATGGAATAAAAGAGGAAATTTCTTAGTCTAATTAAATGGGTCACTATTGACAAAGGCCAGTTTGAAGTATCATATACATATCATAGGCATCATTTGTCAACAAAGATATGGCAACTACTGATAATTATAAAAAAGATACAAGATTTTATGATATGTCTTGCATTTCAATTTGGATATGAAGTATGATATGTAGCATGTATTCACATATATATTGTAATGATATGTAATTTGGTCTGTAATCTTCAAGATATTATTTTGCTTAACAGTATTTATAAACGTGACATCCCATATACAAAAGTTAACTCTATAATCCATAAGATCATACCCACCCTTTCCCTCATATAAAAAAGAAAAGAAAAAACAAGCAACAAACAAGCCCCTCCGTCAAAGCATCACTCACTTACGAAAAGAAAAAGTACAAAATAAGCCTCACCCCTAACTTGGCTTTGTAGCAGAAAAGGGAATGAAAAGAAAAACTGATGAACCTGCCTTACCTTAAGAAAGTCCAAACATTAAAATACAACTTCTTTGGTGAAGTTTTTTTTTATCCTCCTAACTTGGCAAATAATTATTAAAATTAAAATAGCTAGTACTATAACATCACTTATAAGAACCAACAAAAAGGTGGCACTGGGTTCGCGTCTCTTCTACTCCCTAATATGAGATCTCACTGATTAACCAAACTCCCTTCGTATAATAACAGGTAATGAGTGTGGAAAGGTTGTAACCATAATAACAACTGCTAATGATAATCCCTAGTTTACTGGACTGTGAATCCGAGGCAAAGCTGTGAAAGAAAAAGGAAAGCATGATTGGGAGCTGTGCGGAATTTAGTCTTTTTGCAGGCCACAAAATCCACTTGTCATTAAGGCCCAGAGTAGCACACTAAACATGGTCCCATGCTTTTTTTCCTTCGTGAGCAGAAAAAATTATGAGCCATCAACTTGTACTGTCTTTGGTCTTAATACTTGTCGATTGTGACACAAACTATTAACTGTAAGTGCCAGTGAGCAACACAACACACCCTGTGAAAGCATAATATAAATACATAATTCTTTACTATTGACTAAAGAAAAACTATGACAGTTCTAATTTGGAAACATCTGGATTAAACAAATATTCTTACAGTATGTTATCTAAACTTGGGGAGTTTGGTCTTCTCAATATAAAAACTATCTGTGAGAAGCACTTGATGACTCTATGAGCATGTCCAACACATAAATTATGGCGTAAAAGAAATTGGGAGCATTCCATTTGCCAAAACAAAAAATAATAATCATAATAATAATAAAAATATCTAAAACAAAAAGAAAAGAAAAACTGAAATGAGGACTGAAAATATAGGAATAAAGAATTTTTTAAAATGGAGTAAAACCCATGGGCTGAGTTTACCCTCAAAAGTCTCCATACCTCCCAGCGTTCCAGTGTAATTACATATTGCACGCACGAGTCCAGGTTTGAGTACCTAGTTTAGGTAGAAAAAAAAATCCTCCTACAAACAGATGACAGACCTTCGTGCATGTTTTATCACACACTGGTACTTTTCACTTGATTATTGACATAACAATAGCTTGGGGATATATGAAGTCTGTTAGGCAAACACTCCAACTATGGTATTATTGCAGTAAAATGGTATTGAACATGGGGTTGTAATGGTAAGCTGTCTGTCCAGTTGAGCCGTTGCTATTGTATCATTCCTGCCATCGATATGCTTTTAAGGAATTAACATTGAAGCCGGAATTTTTTCTGATGGTGTGGAAATGCATATTGGCAACAAAACAATTAGTATAACCAACAGTTACTTAATTAAAGCCTCTATCATCACAGCACATTAGCCATCATTTTTTTATATTGCTACCTATATGATATGATTCCTTCAGAGACATGGCACTGCAGCTCTGGTCATCTGGGGGAGTTGGGTGGCTCCTTGACACAGCCCCAGGGGGGGACTGTGGGGACGGGGTCTTGTGCTCACGCAGCCCCACAGATGAGGGGTTGGATGTTGGGGGGGTTCGCCCCGGACCCCCACTCGCTCCTTCCTGCTGCTGCAGCCGCATCTCATAGTCCACTTCAGCCATCTCCGAACTGCACTCATTTTCTGAATCGGGCTCCGGGGGATTATTTTCCGTGGACTGATCCAAGTCTGTGTGGGGGTCATTGTGGGGGCCACCTGAGCCCTGCTGGTCACTATAGTGTCCTACCAAATCTGGATAAATGGCAGGAAGGCTGCTACCCCCGCCCCCACCAGCCCCCAGCCCTGACGATGCTCCAACACCTGCTACATCCTCTCGGACATGCACTTTCATGTGGATTTTCACCTGAAAGATGAATTACAGGCTTCAGATAACACTGTACTCTGAACCTTATATCCTCATTCTATAAACTTTTGTGAGGTATCTATTCAATCATTATATGAGGTATTCTATCAAATTTGAGGATTAAGTAATTAATGTCTTCTAAATTATATATATTCACTATATCTAAAGCAAATGGTTACATATTTAATAGCTCCTAAATCATAACTTTTTATAGAACCTTTTGTTGCTAATGACATTTCTAAACATATCAAAAAGTAATATTAATGAAAATCACTACAAGTTCAATTTATAAAAATGCCATGAAGATGCATATACTACTGCTGATATATGTCCATATTGCACATCACATATAGTGCTACTCATATCTGATTATGGGAGTATTTCACTAAAAAACAAATCACATCACTAAATCTGTTTCCTTATATCATAAGAAGCTCTGATTCAGCGTAAACAATTACATGATTAAACAACAAGATTATTTTAGTAAGTGAACCACAGAAAAGTAAATACTAACCTGTTGGCTCTGGATAAACCCCCTGCCACAAATTTTACACTTGTATGGTCTTTCTCCTGTGTGGATCCTGATGTGAGTCTTTAGATGGTCCTTCCTTTTGAATTTGCGTGAACAATACTGACACTTATGAATGCGTGTCTCACTACCTGGTGTATTCAGTCTCTCCAGCCTTCGTAAAGGGTCACTTATTGGGAACATTCTCTGTAGGGCCCAAAGAAATAATAGCTGTGATAAAATCTTTTAACCAAGGTCACTCCTGCATATTCTTACTTATGTATTTCATCTACAGTGAGATTTTATTTGTGAGATTTCAATAGAAAATAATGAAACTATAACTATGATTAATGATAGTTCATACTATGATAAACTTTTGTATCTATGCTCTTTCACAACTGAATAAGATGCTACGCAGGCAATGCATTTATTTCTGGCTAATTTGTGTGAATCTGAAAGGCATTTAAATGACCTTTGTAAAGACTAACCAAGACAAAATTTCTCCTAAAAAGGATGATCATATGCATTGCACTTCTCATGCTATCCCTGAATCTCTTCTCAGGGATATTGTAAGGAGGGATTCAGGGAAGGAATTGTGTGGAGGGATTCAGGGAAGGGATTGTGTGGAGGGATTCAGGGAAGGGATTGTGTGGAGGGATTTTGGGAAGGGATTATGTGGCAGGATTCAGGGAAGAAATTGCAAATCCTGAATCCCTCCTCACACAATCCTTTCCCTGAATCCTTTCTATCTAAAATCCTCCTTTAGCAAGACTTATATACATACCCCATATGGTTGGGAACTTGCTGTTGGGTGCCCTTCATGCCCCAGGAAGTTGAAGATGCCAGGGGGGAGGTATGGGTGCCGAGGAGCATCACCCAACGACAGGGGTGATACGTCCCCAACTGCTACAGGAGCATCCCAACTGTTGCCTCCCAAGTCTTGCTTCACACGCTGCAGCAGCAAATTGCTCTCATATTTCTGATCCAAACACCATCATGCTCTATTATCATGATGTACTTTTATTTGCATTTATTATCATCATCATCATTACAGTTATTATTTGCTACAATTATTATCATAATCATTATCATTATTACAGTTATCATTTATTACAATTATCATCATAATCATTATCATCAAAACTGTTATCATTATTATCATTATTGTTATTATAATCATCATTATCATTCAATCATTATTACTGAATATGTAGATTATAATAATGTTTTTACACTGTCTCCAGGTCTAGCAAAGACAAATACTAATTTAACTGGTCTTACAGAAAAAATATTTATATGATAATAGAGATGGGAATTTTGGATCTGATATTCCTTAATAATATATATATACAAATGTATATATTCTAAGTATGGTATTCATTTTTGTTTGACATAATATAATCTCTGATAAATGTGTCTCTTGGTATCAATTACTGATTCTGATTAAGAACAAAATTCTGAACACACTTGCACTGTTAAGCAAGTTATACGTATATTACACAGATTCTATAGATTCTTAGTGACTAAAATCCCATACCAATGGCTAGAGGATTTGATGTACGTTACATATAATAAAGTATAATAAACTGCTATTCTGTCAAATGTATTGATTCTTACCAACTGTGACTGGTAGGGCGATCTTGGCAAAGCACTTTGGCATTTATTGTGTTCTTCCGATCTGTTCACATCTGCCTCACTGACGGCCAAGAGCGAAGAACTGGGTGCTGATGAGAGATCGTATGGTGGCCGATGGGGTAGCATGGGGTATGGGTGGTACTCCGGCGGCATGTGAGGGTGCTGGGGTCCTGGGGGTCTCGTGGCCACTGCTACTGCTGCTGCCAACGCCGAGGCCTCCACTGAAGGGTGTCGAGGAGGTGGAGGATCTGGGGCGCTGGGGTGACTGGGCAACCGAGAGTGGGTCGAAGTGCCTCCTAAGGGCGGCAGTTTGGGGTTGACCAAGGGTGGGGGGTTGGGGGAATGGGGTTCGCTAATTGGGGTGGCACATTTGGTGGGGGGGCCAGTGCTGGGGGAAGGGGAGGATGAGGCACATTGACCTCCCTGATCCCCTACAGGAGAGGATGGCCGGGAATTTGTTGGCTCCAAGTCCGCAAGCCCCCGAACCTGAAAGAAAGAGCCACTTCAGTGTTTGCTCTTGTAAACCGGAAAAAGACGATCATAAAAGCAACGCGCCCTACTGAAGTAAATGGATGATCCATTTCATTCTTTCCTGGTGATAATAACAGGAAAGGAAGGAATACACACACACACACACACACACACACACACACACACACACACACACACACACACACACACACACAACACACACACACACACACACACACACACACACACACACACACACACACACACACACACACACACACACACACACACACACACATATATATATATATATATATATATACACACACACACACACACACACACACACACACACACACACACACACACACACACACACACACACACACACACACACACACACACATTATTATACACATAAATGTCCATTTGACTTGGAAAGAAACTACCGTTTCAACCTTTGTTCGTGATACATAAAGATACATACATAACAAACATCCTTTTTCCTTGGAGAGGAAAAGCTACCCGAGTCCATTCTTGTGGTAGGAAATAAGAGTATATAAAAATATCGTCCTTTTCCTTCTCTTTAGCTTCAAATTTCATGATTCGGTGACTCGAAAACTGGTATTATAATTGAAAGAAAAATAATACTCTTGATGGAAAAATTTAATGCTGACAAATGACGTTATAATCCCTAGCAATACAATAACTAATGAAAATCCCTTCATGTTTTTCCTTTTCATCATATGACGTTACATTACATCAGGTAAAGTGATTATGGAAATCCTTTTCCCGGTCGTCCATTATGGGCATTATATCTGATTAATAATAAATATCCTTCTGTGATATCATATATTCTAATGGAGAAATCTGATTCTTTAGAAGAGCAATTCATTAAAACTATACAATCGTTCCTGACTAACGGAAAAGATATCGCACATGTTTCATCTGCGTGCTTGCGAACATATTGTGTTAAAAGACAAAGAAAAAGAAAAAAATATGTATATATGTATATATATATGTATATTCATATATATATGTATGTAATATATATATAATATATATGTATATAAATAAATACACACACACACACACACACACACACACACACACACACACACACACACACACACACACACACACACACACACATATATATATATATATATATATATATATATATATATATATATATATATATATATATATATATATATATATATATATATATATATATATATATATATATATATATATATATATATACATATGACACCAAATGAATCAATCAAAAAGCAAAAGTAGCATTTCAAATCTATAAGGCTTTCTATGATTTGCAATCCACAATCGTTATTTCCTTTTATTCATAATCCATTTTATATCCATTAACACCACGATTTATACAAATGACTTTAACCTTTATTTGTAATTTCTATTATTCTTTACATAATTTCATATTTACTCATTTACAATAACTTTCATTACCCTTTTCTTTGCACCTACAATACCTCCCTCACATCTACCATCTATATCATATTACCCAACTACAACTTTTTACACTTCAAACTCTTTTTAAAACACTTTTTAAAACACTTTTCCTTTACCTGAAGTGAGTTTGCGACGCGGAGGATGCGCTGAATCTGATCATGGCTGACTGACACCTCCCCGCGGTACATATAGGTAAGCAACGCCTCGCACTCATCTCCACTAACGTCTTTTAGGAAGATGATAGGGTGCTGATGGGCAGGGTGGCGTGCAAATAAACCCTGTGGGGGGAAAGAGACATTGGTTAGGACACGACATTCTTTTTGAGTGGCAAATAGTTTTTGAATTGATACTAATCACCGGGTGTATTGTACGGAATGAATGATTTACTCTCGTGTCGCAGGGGACATTTTCATTACTCGTTGACTGTAGGAATATTTTACTGTATGGTGTACTGTAAGAAACAACTACAATAATTACGGTCTTTTACTAATGCAAAGACATACTTCCGGAATCGTTTTCTCCCTTAATGTACCGCAAAAAATATATTATTCGTTTAATCTTTTGCAGTATTTCCATACATGGTTCCGAACTCGTATGTAAAGCGACATTACCCAACGTTTGAGTAACCTGATATAAACCACAACCTGAAGGTACAGCTGCAAAAGGGAACATACATTACACAAGTGATGCACGGAATGAGGGAACCGTATACAAGTACCTCCAACTATTAAGCAGGGTAAATGTCACAGGCATATTTCAGCGTGCATATCAATACACGTTTCCATTTGATAGATGTGTCCGTTTTGGCTATTCAGGAGCATGGTGATGTGCATGTAAAATCATTTTTTATCCTATAATTGTACTCAACGACATGGTCTTAATATTCCTCAAAGCTGCCATATGAACGCGAGATGGGAACAGATGTTCTCTCAAACATGGCAGGCAGTGACTCACCGCCGAGCCTTCAACGTTAAGTTATTTTGTAAATATATATAGTGGGATAACGTTAATAATTAAGGTAAGCACATGTGGAAAGCGAGAGAGAGAGAGAGAGAGAGAGAGAGAGAGAGAGAGAGAGAGAGAGAGAGAGAGAGAGAGAGAGAGAGAGAGAGAGAGAGAGAGAGAGAGAGAGAGAGAAATAAAAAAGCAGAAATATAAACAAAGAAAGAGAGATATTAAAAAAACCGGAAAATATTGGTTATGTTGCCACAGCGAAAAGAAAGTTTCGCTACATCGACTGGAATGCTGTCAAACCAGGTAATTATTTTTCTTCTTTTTTCCCCTTCGCAGTTTTATAACTAGGAGGGGAAAACACATGATGGTAAGATTAACAAGATTAACGAACGCATAGCGAGTAAATATTCTGTCCGGAGAGGAGAGTAAAGAAATTTTCCTCTTCGACAAGTAACAAGGATTGATAGTCGGTGGTGTGGGGGTGGGAGAGGGAAGGGGTGGGTTGGGAGGGGCGAATGGGGCCAGGTGGAGGGGAAGGGTACAAGGAGGGTACTGACAGCCCTCATGCCTCTGTCCATATATGTGGCCAT